TCTGCAATGGATTTTTAGGTTTTCATAAATATATATCTGTAGTACTTATTATCCCTGAATACTTTAGAAGAAACACTACTGAAATGCTTACTCATCTGATACTTTTTACTTACAGTTTTCCTATGCTCTACTGACTCAAAGGCATTAAATAGCAGACTCAGGCATTAAACAAGAAAGCAAAGGTTTTCATTCCTGTTTTCATATGGCAAATTTGGGAGGTCATTGGATTGCATAAATCAGCACAGCAAGTGACAGAACCGTGCCCACAATTTATGCTAGAATGTGGATTGTACTTATGGATGAGACTTATCTTGTCCTTGAACTTAGCAGGAGTCAGAAAGATCTCCTAATTCTGAGTAAAGTCAGCGCCTGTGTCAAATCAGTATTTTGACAAGACTTTTTATGCTTTGATTTCAATTTCAGCTAAAAGATATGTTTCCAGGCTTTCGGTTGGCCCTTCCACCAAAGCGCTGGTTCAAAGATAATTATAATCCTGACTTCTTGGAAGATCGACAGTTGGGACTGCAGGCATTCCTCCAGAATTTAGTAGCTCACAAAGATATTGCAAACTGGTATGTGATTAAACTTTGCTTGTGCATTTGTTTTGGTTTGTGTTTTCATGTCGAAATTCCTCTTAGGAACTCCTAGACTCTAGCAGTGTATCTTTGAGCAATGTGGTAAGAGATTTCATTAACATTCATTGGTCTTTAAGGGAATTATTTAGTGTTTATGAAATTTATCCTGTCTTAACATAAGCAAAAAAGTGTAACTGCAGCATTTTGAGTTGTACGTGGTTAACTACTAAAAGCTATAATATTTGACATGTTAGACTAATCCTAAAATGTTACTTCTCTGAGCTTAATACAGAATTGATACATTGTTAATTTCTACTAGGATTAAATGTTAGGCTTTCACAATGGGAAGTACCTACACTATTAGGCAAATAGTTCTTAAAATGTGTATTAAACTACAGACTTGTAATTTACATGACATAGTAGTAATAGGAGTGTGTTTGTAGGTTGCTATATGTAAGTAAATGTAAACCACAAATCAAAAAAATCTTAACAGTTTAAAAAACAATGTGTTTAAGCAGCAAAGTGCAGGTGTGACTTTGAATGGTATCTCTTCTCATACAAAGTGGAAGATTCTTCTAAAGCTGGAAGATGAGCAGAACATAATTCTGGCAAGTGAAATGTAAAATAATTTTAATGTAGGCCAGAAGAGAATTTTAGTAGGCAGATTACTAGAGGCAGAGCAGTTAGTTCTAGAAACCTTTTTCAACACCAGAAATAAAAAAGTTGAGGTTGCTGTATCGGAGATTCTTTGAGGAATGAGTCTGAGGATCTGTCATCATCTGAAATGTTATTAAAAACAAAAACAAGAAACATTCTAAAGCAAACACCATTTCCTCAGGAATTTTAAAGTAACTTAAATTGCCAAGCTGTGTTGTAGGACCATATAATGTTCATATCTACTTTGCCTTTTTAGTAGAAGGGCTGTTATTGGCACATTTTTATAAGACATTTGACTGTTGAGTCTGGAAACTAGAGGTTCATAAGTCAGTCTGCCTTTTGGCGCTGCTTGTAACAAAAAGCCTGGAGTGGTAAGCAGGTAAATAAAAATACTACTTGAAAAAGCAATGCCTTTTTTTGTAGTGAGAAATCTAACAAACAGGTAGTTATGACAGGGCCCGTACAGAGTCGTTAAACGGCAAGGGGCTAAGGATTGATCGAAACTTAAAGGTGTTACATATAGAGTGCCAGGTCAGTTACAAACGTTAATGTTCAGGACATCTTGAAATTATCTGGGAAAGGGAATGAACAATGAGATCATGAACTATTGTAGAAAGACCCTGAGGCCCTGAGTGACTAACACCGATTTTCATGTCATGAGGTGTGAAATTACAGTAAGTACATAAATACAGAATTGTAAACTCAGTTGTTTATAACCTGGAGAATAACTATTGGTACTTATATTACTAGTGTTCTGAACCAGTTCAGTGTTTAGTAATAGTCAAAAAGTTGCAGTAAAATTGTTAGAGGAAATTGGAAAAAAGTTATTCCCATGGGAATCCGAATTGTGCTTGCACATAGTCCAGTGCTAAAGCACAGCATTCATTTTCAAAGGAGTTGTCTGCTAGAGGTACAAAGCAACAAAAAAGAGCTGAAGCTACAGAAAATTATCCCTGCAAGAAGAGTTCTGTTTTCTTTAGTCTGTTCTCTTGGGTAAGGGCTGGCTAAACAGGGCATATGAAGTCATCAAAGGGATAGGGAAGGTGAGTAAAGCATGTTAATATTTTGATGATTCATAGTCATCTTGTAGTATGTCACACTGAGTGGTGAAGCTTTGTTGTGGATGTCAGGACAAAGCTTAAATGGTTTCAAAAAGAAATTGAGATCAACCTATGAGTTTCTGTGTAAGTGGCTATTAAGTGTGATTATATTGGTGAAGTATGCAGCCAAGAGGTTTAAGAACTTCCTGATTATTAAATTGAACAATAGTAGGTGTACAACAAAGAAGGAATTATTCTCTAAATGTCACTTTTGTTATGCTGCTGGACACACACTTAGCGCGTGGAATCAACTTTTCGTCTTAAGTACATCCAAAGGCCTTGTTTCATGTTGTTGCAGCTACTTTGGCATTTTAACTAGCTTGTTTGTATCTTAATGATGGACCATATTGGACAAAATAGTGTTTGTCATAATTTAAGGGAAGAAACCCCAAACCATAACTTAGACTCTATCACTCATCACTCATGTTTGTGGAATCAGTTTGTATTTTGGCTAATTAACAGATTAGTTATCTGAAATGTTTTTTTGAGGGCTCTGATCTTGGCTGTGTAATGATCTGCATGAAGATGAAGTTTTTTAACTTCATAACTTATGGATATGGTTTATGTTTTAATATTTGGATCTATGGAAGGTAAGAATTCCTCAGCAAGTGATTAGAACTAGGGAGATTTAATCTGTCTGATATTTTTACCCATTTACCAGAGAATAAAAGTTACTATTAATAGAAATTAATACTTGTACCTTACATGAGCAGTGGTGAGTGTCTGACCCTGCTTTCTCCTTAAAGGCTCATCGTTTATTTCAATAGCTTTGCAATCTGCTTGGGTCACACCAAAACCAAATGAGCCTTTTCTTTTTTATTTCTTTTGCTTCTAAATGTGCTGTGTTATCATTGAGACATATTGACAGTGGGAAATTTGCCCTTAAGGGATAGGAGGCCTCATTTGGCATACCTATTTTTAATAGAACTACATTTGCAAAGTGATTTAAGGATAAAATGTAGGATGGTGTGAAGGTAACTAAATTTAGCATCTGTGTTTTATGGTTTTCTTCTCACATTTTGCATTGCATTGAAGACTCAGTGAAAGACCAAATTGGAATCCACCTATAGAGTTTAATATGTTCAAGAAAATTTCCTATAACTCATGAAGTGGGTGAAAGAAGTTTAACGTGCTAAACAGAAGCGTCATCTGGCTTTATATAGATGACACAGCTCTGCTCTGCCTCCACCCTGTAAGAAGCTTGAAAGGGAGGGACTCAGTCAGCTTTGAGTCGGGGATCCCGTGTTCCACGCTGCCCCTTGCTGCCCTGCTTAAAGCTGGCACTGCTGCCTCTCTGGAGAAGGGTGTCAGCCAGCATACGAGCAAAGAAGCCATGTACAACAATCTCTGTTATGTTATATAAAAGATTTCTGTGGTACTTTTAAGGCAGAATCTTTTATTTGTTAAACGAAAGGAAGAAGTGTAACACATGGAGGAGAAAGCAGGGTCAGAGCAGGCTGATAGTACAGCTAGGTTGCAAATAAGTGTTTGTGCCACTGGGTGCATATTTAAGGTTAAGAAGCAATGATTTCAGTGACCTGTGGCTTTAAGTTTCTTGACCTCCTTATGTAAAACAGTGAATCCACAGCTTTCAATTTCAAGGAGTTTTGAAAATTGTAGAAAAAAACCCCACAGTTTTCTGCCAGCAGCTGCAGGGAAAACAAAAAAAAAAAAAAGACTTTGACCTGATGTAAATAGATGATATATGCAGATTATATTTTTTTAGTGGTTATTTTTTGTGGTATTTTGTTTTTCATTCACAAGCATTACTGTATGTTATGCCAGGTTAATGTTGCCCTTTAACAACACAGTAAAATTGCTAAATACTTTTAAAGTGTGTCTGAACTGCGTATGTGAATCAGGATCAAGATGCTGAATTAAGTGGTGAGCAGAAGTGTTATCACATAATGAGTTCTTCTGCATTAGGCATATGTGAGTTCCTTCAGCATCTTAATGGCTGAATTGTTCTTTTCAGAAAAAAGTGGTCATTTCAAACAGTTTAAACTACTTGGAGAGGGGGAAAACCTTGCTTTTCTCTTTGAAATGTACTTTATATGCCTGGATAACTTTTCATTCTGTTTAAAGCTATGTTTTCTGATCATTTAACTAATTAATTGTTACCAGCTGTCATTTTTTGTGCTAGTTTGCATTATAATCTTTAAGTAGCAGATTTTTTTTATTATTTATTTATGTGGAAGAAGCTGTTCTAATAGTACAGGTTTAGGCTTATAACTTGCATTGATCATAGAACGATTGATGCAAAATATTCCATAAATTAAGTGGGGAAAGGAATGGTCATAGGAAAATAAATCAGAGTGATGTGAAAGCTGATGAGGTGAAAGCAGATACAGAGACAAGAATTCTCACCAACCGTTGTCCGCCTGTATCTTCACACATGCAATAAGCACATGAAAGGATACTTTAAAAATCCAACAAAATAAATGTTCAACATATTTTGGAAAAATTTTCTTCAGAGCCCTTTTAAAACTAAAACTCATGGTATAATCAGTGGTTAGTGTTTGAAGAAATTTCTCTCCTTATTTTGCTTGCCAAACCTGAAGCTGTTTGATTTGATTGGTAGCTGGGTGAAAGTTTCCCTTCTTACGTTTGTACTTTGCCTCTGCCTCGAACGCAGAGGAGGAGTGGAAAGCAGAAAAGTACTGCCTTTTGCCCTTCCCTTTGCGTGGGACCTAAGTGGGAGGAAGAGACAGAACATTGCTTGGATTCACATCTTTCATTTTTGTGCATTCATTGCAGTAGGAGGTGATTTATAGTAGTGAGTACAAGCATGGCATTGCTAATAAGTTATTACTTGCCAATTAATTGTGAATACAGTATTTTGGTCTGAGGTTATTTATGGAAGAATGAATACGCTAGAGCAGGAAAGTAATAGAAAGGTGGCTGAAGGGATCTGTTTGGAGATACTTGAGAGTTTTGTGAAAAGTAAGCTAAACTTAGAATGAGCAAGATACTCAAAATACTCCATGGCAAACCACAGGATTACACATACTTCCTTCTTCTGGCCTTTGCAAAACAGTGCACAGAGGGGATGAAAGCTGTTACCCAGTTCGAAGAGGAATGCAGTAGTTTAGAAATGTATGTTTAGAGCTGATTGTGTAGTCTATTGATGGCACATTAACCTTGTCACTTAGTATTTTATAACTTTTTATTCTTTACATAAATTATATACTTTGTAAATGTCAGTGGGTTATGATCTTGGTAAAATGGAGACAGGTGAACATGCTTCAGTACACATGCTTAGTTCCCCTGGTACTATCTGCAGGGATCTGCATATGGATTTTACAGCACACTTTTTCATCTACCTTCTTATATTTATTTTTCACTAGACGAATTTTTCAAATTTATTCAATACCAGAGTGTGAAACTTGTCAGTTGCCACATAGCAACAAAGTCCCAACATTATAAAAAATTGCAAGAAGTCGTGTTCTAAAATTGCTTGCTTATCTTCGTGAGTTACATTTTAAATAATATCCATGGTGAACACACACAACTGAGACTTTATAGTTTTAACATTGTTTTGAATACATGGGAGTAAATTTGAGGGTAGATGTTTGTTTCCCTTAAAGAAATACTGATATTGTATGATCATATTGAAGTGTTGTTGCTGGTTTTGTACTTAAACTAATTCACTTTCTTTTGTTTGGTAAAGCCTTGCAGTGAGAGAATTTCTTTGTCTGGATGATCCTCCAGGTCCTTTTGACAGCCTAGAAGAGAGCAGGGTAAGTGCTAAGTAGTAGGATAAAAACAGAATGCTAAAGGTGTAGTTGTTGTTAGAATATTGTGAGATTTGATGTTTATGTTCTTTCACAAAAAGGGCAAAAGGACAAATAGTCTTCCTTTTTGCCTTTTATGAGCTGTGGATGAAGTTTGGTTTTTAAGGCAACTACTTATATAAGGGAACTATTGAATATAAGAGATTTTACAGTTTTACATTCATTATTACCATGCTTACACCTTAGACTTCAGGTCTTGCAGTGAAATGTTTCTTCCTATAAAATGATAGAATCATAGAATGGTTTGGGTTGGAAGGTTGATCCTCTTTAAGATCATCTAGTTCCACTACCCCTGTCATGGGAAGGATCACCTTCCCATGTAAGGAATGTAATGAAAGGATTAATTCTGACTACCAGAAATCGTGTTCTTGCAGAAAACTAAGTAGTGTCAAGTAGTGTTGTAAAACAGTAGCCTTTCAACATGCATTGAGCACATTGCACAGGTAATACTGCATGCTGCAGCCTTTTTTATTAGAAGTAGGTTTCACTGGCATGCAGAGCTGTATCAAAGTCTGTCTAGAAGAGCTGATCTTAGTTTTCTTGCTTTATAGAATAATGTTGTTTTAGAATTGCATGTACTTTGTTAATATTGTAGAAATTATGAATGTTAAGTGATGCTCCTTCAGTTGAATTCATATTTACCAGTTTGCTTTTCATGTAAGTAGGAGTGCCTTGGCTCTTGTTACATTACTATGTGCATGTGAAGGATTTGGTGTGGTTTTTGTGTTATGAGCTCATGTTTGATTTCTGTGCAAATACTTTTTATTGCTGTTTAATCTGATGAAAATTTTTGAAATTACAGTAATTATTTGTTCAGATCAATAAGAAATTTTAGTGTCATCTTCATTGAAATTTCAATCCTGTGTACTGTGGTGAAGTCTCAGGATTATTTTTCCACCATAGGAATTTAGTCAAACCATTCAAATAGCTGTGCTGTTGTAGTTTTGACTGTTAACAGTTTCTGTTAAGTTGTTACAGACAACTGTCAAAATTCTGGTCTCCAGGGGATGTTCCATCTTATTACAGAGTGATTGAGGTTGGAAGACACCTTTGAGATCATCTAGTCCAACCTTCCTGCTTAAGTAAGGTCAATTACTGCAGGTTGCCCCTGGCTGTGTCCAGTCAGGTTTTCAGTATTCTGCAGAGGAGGGTTCACAACCTCTCTGTGCAGCTTACTCCAGTGTTTGATCACCATCACAGTAAAAAGGCATTTTCCTGTGTTCAGATGGAATTTCCTGGTTTTTAATTTGTGCCCATTGCTGTTTGTTCTGTCAGTGGGCACCACTGAGAAGTGCCTGGCTTCCTCTTCTTCATTTCCTCCCATCAGGTGTTTATACCCATTTGTAAGATCATCCTGATCTTCTCTTCTCCAGACTAAAGAGTCACAGCTCCCTTCCTTTTTTCACGTGCAAGTCCATTCATTATCTTTTACTGTGATAGTTGAATCATGAGACCAGGAGTTCTGGTGGACACCAAGGCGTCTCCCTTAGCAGCTACAGGTGCAACCTGTCAGGCCCCAGGGAATTACATGGATGTCCAATTTGTTGTAAGTGCTCCCTGACCTAGTCCTTCTTCACTGAGAGTTTGTCTTGCTCTTCTGCCAAAATCTACTACTGTTTTCCTGATAATGGAAGATATGGATATCTTCTATTTGGTTTATGTCTATTGTATTATTGCAGTTTCATAAGGACTTGCCAAAACATGTTTATCTTTTTCTGGAGAGGGATGGAGGTACCTCCTCCATTACAGAATCGCAGAATCAATTAGGTTGGAAAAGACCTCATAAGATTGAGTCCAACCTAAGACTGAAGGCCACCATGTCAACTAGACCATGACATTAAATGCCATGTCCAGTCTTTCCTTAAACACCTCCAGGGACGGTGACTCTACCACCTCCCTGGGCAGCCCAATCCAATGTTTAGGAAGAATTTCTTCACAGAAAGGGTAATAAATGTTCAACCTAGACCTCCCCTGGTGCAGCTTGGGGCTATGCTTGTCCTGTCACTAGTTGGAGGAAGAGACTGACCCCCATATTGCTATTACATCCTTTCAGGTAGTTGTAGACAGCGATAAAAGTCACCACTGAGTGTTCTCTTGTCCAGGCTAAACAACCCCAGTTCCCTCAGCTTGTCCTCACAGGACTTCTACTCTAGACTTTTCTCCAGCTTCATGGCCTTTGCCTGGACATGCTCCAGCACCTCAGTATCATTCCTGAATTGAGATGCCCAGAACTGGACACTGTACTCAAAGTGTAGAAGCTGATTAGGCCTTACAGAAATTTACTTACAGAAAAGTAGGCAAAATATTCACTGAAGCAAACTGTTGTTGTTGTTGTTGTCATATACTTGCTAGTTGATTCCACAGGTGCTTTCCTAGCCATGTGTGTCATGATCCATTGAAGCAGGAAACAAAGCTGCTTTCCAGATGGCCTAGATCTCTTGCCCTTTCAGAATTACAGAGAAAATTGGTCCTGCCTGGGTGTTAAAACTGTTCCAGACTGCAGATGTCCTGCTGTTTAAGGAGTGAGATATCTCATTACACACCATTCCCTTTCTCAGCTTTGGTTCACCTTTCTGCTATTACAGCATCCTTCAGAATACGTCAATGCTTTCTTACTCAGTTGTGAACAGCAACTTCCTTTCCATGAGCAGCTGATACCCAGACTGTAGCTAGACAAGTTTTTCCAAAAGGCTTTGTTCAGTTCTCACATAGAGCAATGAAACACTTTACAACACTTGTGCAATATTTTTAGTTATTCTGTGAATAGGGAAATTTCCATGTGCATAAATCTAAAGGTAGAAGTAATAAACTTCATTATATTTTTAAGGAAATAATGACCAGCTGGGATACCAGCAACCTTGCATATTTGTACAAAACACTGTAAAATTTACTCAATTGGCTTGGATGCAATGGGATGAATGCTTAACTGGAGTGATAGCTAAAGCAATCGCTACAGATGCTGTGTGGAGGATGAATTGCATGCCATGTGGTTTTGGCTGTAGTAGGCATGAATAGAGCTATGACTTAACTGATGATGAGTCTTCAGTGCCTGTCAACAAAGAGAAATTTGCTATCTGAGTCAATAAATTAACCTTTTTTCCCACTAATTTTTATTGGATTGAAAAACTCTTCATTTGTTTGTATTATATAATTACAGGAAAACCTAACTATGTAAAGATGATGAGTTACTTCAATTAAACCAAAGGATAGTATCTTCTTGATGCTTGTAGCCTGTTTTAAAACTTTAGGAAAACAATGTCTTAACAGCACTGTTCTTAGTTGAGCTCGTATAAAATGTTTACATTCAGTGGACTTGAATTAGTGTTGCAAGTAATGTTAAGCCAAGAAGGCTTCCCATGTGGGGTTCTTATTTATCAAGAACTTGTAAATTATTAAATCAAAACTGCACATTACTGTTGGGAGACATGTGTTTTCCAGTAATAGATGAACAGGCTCCATGCCAATGCTTCTGTCACCCTCTTGCCTTCAGTGGATGTTGCATAATGCACTGGCTCTTCAACATTAAGCTTTGAGATTGCTCACTGTCAGATCCATCATGGGGTACTATATATATATGCATGTCATGCTCAGCAGAGGAGCACGACATACTTGTCAAGGCTGAGTAGTTAGTGTTCACAGCATTCCAGGAAACTTTTTCAAAATGGTTTTATGTTGATATTCTGACTGTCATGTTTCATATTTGTAACAGGTGTTTGATACAGAACAGTACAGCTTTGCCTTTACACTGGGTAG